TCGTGATAACCTATTCTTTATGAGTATTTGATGTGGAGTCTTTCCAAACACTTGTAATAATATGAGTTCCATATGGAATTGTACGATGATTGGCTTAGTCCGTTGTTACACACGATGGGCGAAACGGCATATAAAAGATGTAGGTCACAGTTTAGCCTTACATTTGACTTCAAGAATCGAAAGATGTAAATATTTTACAGCACTTTATTGAATTTTCTGTTATTGTTAATTGATGTTAAACATTTCATTTCGAAAACAGTTGTTTTAATTAAAGATAATGGGTTAAGTGTTACAAAAACCTCATTATTTATCTTAATATGCGACAGAATCAACCAGAAAATGATTAAATTGACTTTCATCCAGATAATATAAAGATGTTTTAACTTCATTCAATTACCTGGTATGTGGAACGGTTGGAAAATTTCCTTAAAAATCAAATTTTATAACATTTGTTTCTTAAAAACCGAATAATGGCAAACGAGGAGACTTTATAAACACCATAGTGAATCAGATATGGCTTGGACATCAACAAAATGAAGGACTATATACATATTTTTGTAAATTTGCTTTAAAAAATTTAACAAGCGTCTTGTGTTATTAAAATGGAACATTATAAACAAATTATTAATAATTATATTACAAGGAAATTACATAATAAATTAAGTTTTAATTACAGTGGCAATATACATGTCCATATTTTCAGTCATCGTCACGCTCATATTTACTTTTTACTGTTCAGTTTAATTTTTGCCTCCCTAATCATCAATACGCTCATTACACTTATTATCATTTCATGTACGCATATGCTTTGTAGTGTATCTTTATAACGCTATCTCTAAGATAGCTTGCTAGGAAAAGAACTTTACACAAATCAACTGTGTTGTTAGGATCATACTTGTCTTAATTATTTGTGGTTAGGGCACTCGACTTGCAATCTGAGGGTCACGGGTTCGAATCCCCGTCCCATCAAACATGCTTGCCCTTTCAGCCGTGGGGGCGTTATAATGTGATGGTCAACCCTACTTTTTGTTGGTAAAAGAGTAGCCCAAGAGTTGGCGGTGGGTGATGATGAGTAGCTGCCTTCCCTCTAGTCTTACATTGCTAAATTAGGGATGGCTGGCACAGATAACCCTCGTGTAGTTTTGCGCAAAATTCAAAACAAATAAACATTATTTGTGTATAGTTGATGCAATTCATCATCACTGCTTGAGCACATTATACATGTGCACGAGTTTCTTAGACAATTCTTGGGAACTTTCCACAACAATCAAAGCTTTTACGATGTGTGAATCAAAATTTTTTGCACATAAAAGTTTCTAGCTATGTATGTGTAGTTTTAACAATATAATTTTGATCAAGGAATGTAACTAAACTCCTTTTGCTTTAGTTATCTGTTGACTTGGGCCTTCCCTTTGGTGCTGTGTGAGCTTTTCCATGGAAAAACTGTTGTGTGTGTAGGGTTGAATGCATTGTATTAAAACGATTTTGAATATGCAAATCAGCAAGTCATTTGATAACCAGTGTTGATATAAAGTCATTATGGAACAGATCTATCAGACCTACATTTTGACATTGTTTGGCATTTCATAAGTTGTGTGATGCCACAAAAGTTGATTGCTTTTGGAAATAGTATGTAACAGCCCTTCTGACATAAAATATTCATACACTCAGATCATAAAGATGTGTTCTGATCAGGGATTCAGAATTTCCAAGAAGAGAATATCTCTTGTACTTAATGACATTAGAAGACAAAGGGATATGGATCAGCTTGGGGCACCAGGAGCATCCAAAAGGAGACCAGCAACATGTTGCACACCTGTTGTGGTAAGCAAAGTATGTAAAATATGATAATCCATGAACACACAGATCACTTGCAAAAGGTGTCCATCTACCATAGGTAATAGTACATAATGAAGAAGGATCTTCATCTGGAAACAAGGCCAATAAGGTATGGGTTCACCAAGATAAGTATTTCAACCATACTTTTTGTCAAGTTGATTGATGGAGTGCCCATGAAATTTTACAAGATTAGACTGTTGAAGTGGGCACTGGGAAACCATTAATGTCATAAACTAGATGTATTATAGAAAGAGTATAGGAAGGAACATTGTGCTTTGGACATGATATCTGTCTGATGGAACATTTTGCAATGTAAACTGTACTGCAGGTCAGATAGAGTATGATCAGACATGGCACTGTGGACAATAATGGTGTGGTGATACTCCAGGATCATTTGAATGTAATATATTCATTCCTCTTTAGTAGAAAACACTGCTTAAAGGTAGATAATGATATTTTCCTTTGATAGTTCAGATGCTATGCTAATGATATATTTTCCTGTTTTATTTTTGGAATGACCAATAATGATGTGGGTAGTGCATTTGTGTTGAGAGGGATAGCACTAAAAAAAAGTATGCATATAGTGTTGTGCTCCCTTAATGTGTTACAATATTTTAAAGACAAGTAACTTTCTGAAATAGTAGTTTTCCAGAACTCAGTGAAGCACTGTCTCATATTTAAGTGCATTCATTCACTTTGATTATCTTTATGGATAAAGATTACTTTTCCCTCTGTTCATGCTGCCTTGTAGTCTCTTTCTTGCTTCTCAAAAGTAATTAATTTTAACTCTGTGATGGTTCTCTAGCTATTGTGGTTACTACAGTGCACTTGAAAACACTACAGAGTAAGTTTATAATAAGAACTTTTGGGTGCTCACATTTTTGTAGAGTTTTCTGTTTCCCCATGAAGTACATTTTACCATTTTAATTCTTGTGCATTTTAAGTTTTAAAATCTTCGCATGAGAGAAAATGGCATTTTCTACAAGTCTAAGGACTTACAATCATGAGGATGACTTCATCAATGAGTGTAGATGGGTGTTTGAGAGAATGGTAGGGCTTCTGAATAGCTCTCTTATAGATGTCAGATATCTCTAATGTTGTGAAGGTCTTCAACCATTATCTCATTCCAGTTGCAGAATCAGGGAGGGGATTGGCATCCTGGGACTTCTCAAGCTGTTTATTTAGATCAATACTTGAGAATTGATCTTGGTGAATAGGAAGCATGATTGACTGAGGGTTGACCTGAAGAGTTGCATGACCTGGTTAGTCTGAACGTAAATGGAGCAGTCTGTATTGAAGTCCCAGACATTAGCCAACCAAGTAGGTCAACTCCAACTCTGCAATACCAGCTGACAGAGACTGGAGGTGCTGCTGAGGGATAATTTCTTCCAGCTAGAGCTATTTTGTCACCTACCTAGGTACGGAAGTAAGCACTGATTGGTGAAGATGGTGACCCATAGGGTTTTTGAGATCTTTTCTATGTATGAGGCCTGCCAGTGTGACTAGTATAGGTCATGGACAAATATTGGGTTGTGCAGAGCCTATGGATGAGCTGCTTTCCATAACTTGCCATTCTTTCAATTAGGAGAGGGATCTAATGTTTGTCAAAACACAGAGGTTCCTGAGCACAACAACTACTACTCCACCCCTTCATGACATTTAGTCTAGGATGTTTCAGACAGGTTTGTGTTTAGACTCCATGGTATATAGGATGTGTAAATGTACAGGCAAGAAAAGCCCAGACTGCTTTCTTAAATATGTCAAGCAGATCACTGCTTGGAATAGCTGGATTCAGATGCTGAGTCTGCACAGCCCAGTGTTTGACTAAATCAATCACTCAAATGAGGAAGAAGAAGCTGGAATTACTTGTCTTGCTGTCTGAGAGCAGTTAAAAAAGGAAATGCCAGTGCAGGAGCAGTATTACAGCTCTGATGGTTGGCTAAAATACTAACTTTGACCTCCTGATCTTGGCTGATCTCAGCAGTTAGGATAGCCATTTGATTGGAAGGTCACTGAGTGAAAGGAAGTGGTGTTATGTACTTTCTGAACTATCAAGTGGTATTTCACAGTAAAATGTATGCACTACTTATTTTATGAAACTGAGGGAGTGAGGTGAGTTTTTTGGATCCTAGATAGTAACACATTATGGTACCATGGTTATCAAGACATAACTAACAGAGATAGTCTGTGTTGGCTACCATGGTAATCGTGCATGAGCTACAGGAAGTCTGGCTAACACTAACAGTGTATATGATGATATGGTTTGTTGATTAGTGGGTGGACATTGCATAAAGTTGATTCAATTACAAAAAGAAAAAAATGTCAAGCAATATGTGAATGAAGGATAGTTTCAACTGGATGAAGCTGAAATATTCTTGAGTGAGTGAAATTATTTGTAGAAAGTGGTAGTGGTATGCACAATCATTGGTTATGCCAAAAATTCATAATTTTTTGGCTTCAACCCAGTGGTTGGTTAATATTTTGACTGTAAATTATTAATCAGTTATTACAAACAAATGAAAAAATGTAACATTTATGATTTATTCAATCCATAAATGCTTCTAGCAGCAGAAAAACTACTCACTGGGACTCCCCCTTCCACACACATGGAGACTGGAAACCTCATTCTTATCTGATTTGTATTGATTATGCATGATGTTGTGAGCACTCTTTGCTGCCACATGCTGGAGTTTGTATGACAATGTAGAATATAGATTAGAAGAATTTTGATCATATTATAATATTGGGAAATTCTGGAGCCCATGGTGAAGAAAGCCAAACTAACAAGAATGAATTGGATAAAATATATGACTTTCCTGTATCAAATATTAGGTCTTTGGATTTTACAAAAATCTGAACAGTAAATAAAATCATTAATTATGTAGGACTGTTGAATTAAAAGTTACATTGCTACCAATAAGTTATTCTGAAGATGTTTTTAACAAAAATAGAAATGTAATATTTCTCTTGACATCAAATCTATAAGAAATGAAAAAGGTTAAAACTGCTCTAAGAACAAATAATCAATTTGTTGGCCAAAAATATTGTTAATTTTGTTACATTTTGCCATGTTGTAGCTGCATGTTTTTGTTACTTGTGTTATAAACATTTTTTAATTAATATATCAGTTTTGTATGCTTCAACTTTATATATTTGGATAGGGTGGGTGATGGAAGAGGACAACAGTCAAGATACTTATGTTGCCCAGCTACGAGAGGTATTTGAAAGTTGTGATACCACAGGGACTGGTTATCTTGGCCAAGATGAGATGACATCTCTCTGCCAGAAACTGCAGTTGACTGACCAAGTTAATATCTTTGTTAAACATTTGCTTGGTAGTGACCCCAAAGCAAGAGTAAGTTTCGATCACATTTTGATGCTTTATATTCACTTTAACCTGCCTTAGAGATTAATATACTAGTACCGTCTTATAGAAAAATTGTTGATGAAATTGTGGCAAAGGAAACCCATATTGTATTAATTTGTTTTGGCTTTTCTTACCTTCTTCTGTCTAAAGAAAAACAAAATGTGTATATTCAGAAATACCTAAAAATATCTTGAAGTATGTTCACAGTGTCAAAATAAAGTTACTGTTGTTGTTATTATTTATTAGGAAACCAAAATTAAAATCTATGATTTGAGAAGATTCAAAATTTGGGTTGAAGTTTTGAGTAGATATCTAGTTTTTGTATGGTTGTTGTTCGTTTTCACAAATTACATTGGTTTTTATGAAAAAATATCTTGCATAACATTTTCATACAATCCCATCCAAATTACAATTTTTTGGTGATATCTTAAAACATAATTCAGATATTTTTTTTTCAGATTGCTTTTCATGACTTTAAAGAAGGGTTCATATCACTGTTAACACAATCAGTTGACATCAAAGATGAGGAAGAAGGTTGTGACGGTACTACAGCTTTTCAACTTTCAGGTTTGTGAAGATCCAGGAATTGACATTTTATAATCATTCAGTGACTCCATTTGTGATGCTGTAAAAGTTAGAAAAGACTGGGTTGTTTTTTTATGACACAAAACATATAGTATCAAATAAGATAGAGAACATTTTATTTGTTGGCACTGTTTTGAAAAAGGTTTCACCTGTAGTTCCTTTTTGAGTTCATTCTTACTGAATAATTCAGTTTGACTTACTTAATAGTCACTATAATGCCAGTATAGTAAGCATCAGTTAAAATTTTTAGTTGTTATGAAAAACTGATGTGACCATTGAGAAAAAGCATGATAAGTTATTTCTAATTTTATTGGTGTATACTTCAATTTTTAGTTAAGTTTCTAATCAAAAGTCTGATTTTATTTTTTATTAAGTAGGTTAATTTATTTTGCTCAGTTTTAATATATTTACGTGCTAAAGTTTTACTCTGTAACCTTAAAGGATTGAACAACTTTTATTGTGTTTTCACACATTCTAATTATTTGTTGTTCTTGCTATTGTTAATGCAGGAAACTTCAAGCTGAACTTGAATTACATGACTTTTTTGTAGATCGTGAAGTGTCACCCAAACTGGTGCTCGGAAACAAGAAGTATGGAAGACGTTCTCGGCCAGAATCTTTAGTAGGTGCAGAAAATGAGACACAGACAGATTATTCGGATTCAGCAGTGCTTTATACACCAGATAACACACCAAATATGATGTGGATCTCTTCACCTAAAGTGAACAGCAGTGATTTAAAACATGTAAGTGTGATTATTAAATCTTTTTTGTGGTGAGAACCTATTCTAAAAAAATACCCATTAGCAGAAATAAAGGAGACTCAGGAAACACATTATTCATTTGATTCTATTTTATTTTAATATTGTGGACAAGACCCAAGGTTTCTACAACTGATTGTTATTTTTACATACTGAGTTACCAAACTTCTAGAAGTACGTGTGTCAGCTAAGAAGCTAATCTGTTGATGAACACTAGAAAATGAATGTTTTCCTATTCTAGAGTAGGTTTAACATTTTCTTATGCTAGAGCAGGTTTAATGTTTTCTTATGCTAGAGCAGGTTTAATGTTTTCTTATGCTAGAGCAGGTTTAACATTTTCTTATGCTAGAGCAGGTTTAACATTTTCTTATGCTAGAGCAGGTTTAATGTTTTCTTATGCTAGAGCAGGTTTAATGTTTTCTTATGCTAGAGCAGGTTTAACATTTTCTTATGCTAGAGCAGGTTTAATGTTTTCTTATGCTAGAGCAGGTTTAACATTTTCTTATGCTAGAGCAGGTTTAACATTTTCTTATGCTAGAGCAGGTTTAATGTTTTCTTATGCTAGAGCAGGTTTAACATTTTCTTATGCTAGAGCAGGTTTAACATTTTCTTATGCTAGAGCAGGTTTAACATTTCTTATGCTAGAGCAGGTTTAATGTTTTCTTATGCTAGAGCAGGTTTAACATTTTCTTATGCTAGAGCAGGTTTAACATTTTCTTATGCTAGAGCAGGTTGCTGACTACTGTTATTTCTAGAATGGTTCTCTTAAGGTAAATATCATAGTTTGAAAAGTGCTCAAATACTGAACAGTTTTTATGGGTATCTGATTAAATACACACTTAATAAAACTATATATAAAAATTATTACAGTATTTCCATTTCGAAATGCTGAACTAAATATATTATTCGTTTATACAGAGACTTCATGGAAACTATTAAATATTAAATTTCACTGGAAACACGGTCTTGCAAACCAGAAATTCAGTAATACAAATGAATTTAAACATTTATCATTTTAGACTCCGTTACTCAAACATAGACTTTAAAGAACTGTGTTTGTCAATTTAGCTGAAAAGAGTTTGACTACATTGGAATGTTTTGAATATTTTGAAAACCATCAGATAAAAAAAACTGTAATAACGGATGAGTTTGCAAATTTGAAATGAGATGTGTGCAATGCCAAAAAAATCACTTTACTTGTGTTTCATAGTATTGCTCACATCAAATTAGAAATATCATAGCTGGAACAGTTATTAAATTCACCAGTATATAATATCTTTATTCTGATATATTTGGGTAGATTGTTCTAAATACCATGCATTTTCTGCATGTAGTTACTCATGTCAATGTTAAATAAATGTCTTCAGGCCATAAACATGTGTTAATCCATTTACACCTTTATTTTTAAGTCTCAGGTTAACTTAAACAAGCTTCTGTATGGATTGCTTGGAAGGTAAACTATCCAAACAAGCAATATAGAAACCAGTACAGCTGGCTTGGGATAGCTTAGAATTGAAAATTAACCATTGGTTGAAGTATGTAACCCTTGGACTTGTAAGATACCTTACAAAGGCTTCTGGCTGAATATGAAAGTGGGACATTTACACAGTTCCATCATTTGATTTTCTCTTGATTTTACTCTTTTTTTTCTCTTTTCTTTTTCTTCTTCTAATGGACTCCTCTCTTTTACTCTCAACCCAGCAGCTAGTCACACGGAATTAGGAGCTGGCCAGAAATGTGGTGATATTACAAACATTTTTGGGAATAAAGATTTTGATTGTTCATTGTTGTGCATTTGTTTTCTTTTACTCTCGGTGTTAAATTTATTCTTTGCTTAACAATCCTGAACTTTCATTTTTGGCCCAGCATGGCCG